AATGTGGAAGAATAAGAAAGTTGGAAATCAACATTATCGTGCACCACAGTAATAACTGATGCATTCAAAAACCAGAGATGGATGCCAATGGTAATGAGTAAAAGTTTGATGTAAAAGAGGATAGTGCATAATCTCCAGCTATATCCCCACAGATTTTATTATTTTTAAGTGGAAAAATAACAACTTTATAGTGGCAAGACCTGAAACACCACTTTACTTGTAGCATGTGATCAGAGTTAACAGTACCAGTAATAAAACATCAACATCACTTATCCAAATATAATGCAGAGAAGGGCTTCACTTCTCTGGCATTCTTGTCAAAAATCCATAACCACATTTTAATAAGAAATCATTAGATAAAAGCAAATTGAGAGGTATTCTGCAAAATAATTGGCCTAGGCTTGTCAAGAGTATCAAGGTCATGAAAGACAGAGAAAGCTAGAAGATCTGCCACAGAATAAAGAAGACTAAGGAGACGACAGCTAAATGCAGTGGGGGATCCTATGTTGGACACTTGACCAGAAAAAGGACATTAGTGGGAAAATTAGCAAAATTTAAATGCGATTTATGGATTACTTAATAGTATTATATCAGTGTGACTTCTGATTTCAGTTTCATACTGTGGTTACATAGCTGGGTGAAGGATATAATGGAACTCTGTATATTTTTTCGACTTTTAGGCAAGTCTGATATTTCAAAATTAAAAGTATTTTGCGTGGTTCTAACCAGTTTGGCTCAGTGGACAGAGCTTCAAGCCTGTGGACTCAGGGGTCCCAGGTTCGATTCCGGTCAAGGGCATATACCTTGGTTGCAGGCACATACCCAGTAGGGAGTGTGCAGGAGGCAGCTGATCGATGTTTCTCTCTCATTGATATTTCTAACTCTCTATCCTTCTCCCTTCCTCTCTGTAAAAAATCAATAAAAAATATTTTTAAAAAAGACTTTAAAATGGTTATGGCAGGCAAAAAAAATTTTTTTTAAGTATTTTGCGTGCTTTTTTTTAGAGGAAGGAGACTTGGAATGGATGGCTTCTAAGGTCTCTTCCATCTAACCTTACTGTTCTATGATACAGTGTTCTATGACCCAAATCAAGAGTGGCAGATTCAAGTACTTTTCTTTTCTACTGTCTAGTAAGAAATATATTGAGACAGGTGAAAACAGGATCAGATTCTAAACTGCCAATTCCCTTCAGTGGGGTGCGTCCTGGTTTGCTACTGTTGTGCCCAGTACTATAATGAATAAGGTGGCCCCGGCCTCCAGGATGATCACAGCCTAGTGACACTTGAAAATGGTGTGGTCTTCTGTTCAATCACTTCGATTACTAAGGTCTCTCTTCCTTGACATTTTAAAATAATGAAGTTGGATAGAATGACATAGAAATTGATAAGTCTTAGAAACCTATCTAAGAGAGTAAGAGCCCCCAAGTGGGGGTCCTTACTTTATTTTTCAATCTGAGTATGTGATGAGATCATGATAAACATTAAAGAAGATAAGCAATCTAGGGAGCCTTTGAAATTAAACACTTTGTCTATGAGGGACCAATAAGACATCCACATTAAGGTTACCACCAGATAATTGAATATTTCATTGTAGGCTAGTATGATGATGCATGCATTTGAGAATAAAGGGTAATGTAATTCATACATTTGCTAGATAATTGTACTGAAGTAACCTTATACTTTTTTAATGTCATTATGAGAGATTACCGAGTAATCAATTGATAATTCTATTTAGCAGATCTTTAGTGTTGAGAAGTCTTAACTGTGTTCCAGGAAGTGTAACACAGTTAAGTCAGGAAGTTATGACTTAAGTTCTAAACTCCATTAATAAAGATGATTTTTAATTCTTATTTATTCGGGGGCTTGTTTCTTTTTAAAAAATATTTATTTATTTCAGAGAGGAAGAAAGTTAGAGAGATAGAAACATCAATGATGAGAGAGAATCATTGATTGGCTGCCTCCTGCACACCTGCTCCCCTCAGGGGATTGAGCCGCAACCTGGGCGTATGCCCTGACCGGGAATCGAACCATGACCTCCTGGCTCATAGGTCAATGCTCAACCACTGAGCCATGCCAGTCAGATTCTATTTTTTTATTTTGTTTAGTTTTCCTTTAGTCTAAGTGAAGTATAGCTTTAAATCAAGAAAACTATGTAAATTAAATGGAAGTCTTAGTGCCACAATATATTTTACGAAAAAAAATTAAGAAATTGATTTTCACCATCATAATTTTGATAAAAGTCTTAGCCCTAACACTTTGGTGGGTGTGATGTCTTCTATGTATCTTATTTCTGCAGTAGGAACATACAGTGTATGTGAAGTTTCAAGTCTCCACAGAATTGAAAAGTCAATGTGGTTACTGTACTTTGAAAAGTGTATACTGTCAGCCCAAGGTGTTTTTTAATCTTTCATCTCTTTTAAGGATCAAATATTATTAGAAAAATAAGCCATGGGCATTACAAATGTGGTCTGGTGAAATTCAATATTCACAATGACAATTCAGAATATGAGCTCCTTGGGGGAAAGTTAACCCACCACTCTAACTTTGCATTCAAATATCTTAAAGTATGCCATTGGTTTTATGAAAAGGTTTTGATCTACACTTCTAGTGTAAGTTCAAAAGAAAACCTACATTTTAAAGTGTATTCCTTTTCTGGGTATATTTACTTTGAACTATAGCATATAGTTTTCCTCATAAATCTAACCTGCCACTATCTGTTTTTAAGACTCTGTAAACTTCAAGTGGTTATGATGTGTGAAGTTTGGATTAAACTAAAATTTTTAGAAAACACATGTTATATATTTTGATTGTTTTGATTTTAACATGAGCCAGTCAAAAATTTGAGTGTCTAGCAGAGTAATATACTTTACTCTTACTGTAAGAAATCACAGAAAATTGCCCTTTCTCATCATGTTAACAATAGACAAATGAAGCAGCTGTTCTTATTCTTAATGTAGTTGTTTGAAAAGCTAGCACAATTTAATGAAAATGTCTCTACTCATAAAACTTAAAATGCTCACACATGGAAAAAGTCATAATGTTTTGGCAAATAATGCTTTGTTAGGAATGTGAATGAGGTATACCTGCTTCGTAACTAGAATTCTGTATAAATGGCATAAAACTGTGAGGGAAAGCCAACTGAAAGAGGACAAAGGATGAATTAATGCTCTAAATCTACAAATTTTGCCCAAACTTACTTTTTTACAAGGAAAAATTATTTCTCATATCCCTCTCCATTTCTTTGTATTTTTCAGGTATGATTCTTGGGTCATCATTTCTACTCAGCGTAAATGATTTTCTCCTTAAAACAAGTCTCAGAGAAAAAAGCCGGATTCTGATAGGACCATGTTGTGCGGCTGCCGATGTGGAAGCTAGGTGGTGTAAACACAGTGGCAACCCAGGCCCAGAGCAGTCTATACCCAAAATATCCATAGATTTGAGCGGGGGTCTTCTACAGGTATGTGGGCATTTTCTATATTTTCCCCATAAGTTTTTAGCGAGCCTTTATTCATTTTTTGAACTCTCACTACATTTTAAATCTTGGCCCAGCCGATGTGGCTCATTGGTTGAGCGTCAACCTATGAACCATGAAGTCACGGTTAGATTCCCAGGCTGGGAATCTAACATGCCTGGGTTGTGGGCTCAATCCCCGGTGGGGGCGTGCAGGAGACAGCCTATCAATGATTCTCTCTCATCATTGATGTTTCTATCTCTCTCCCTCTCCCTTCCTCAAATCAATATTATTTTTTTTTTAATTTTAAATGTTGATGTGGTGAGAAAGGTATTATCAATTCATATACCATACAATTTACCTAATTAAAGTGCATAATTCACTGATTTTTTAGTATATTCACAAAGTGTTGTGATCATCACTGCAGTCCATTTTAGAACATTTTCATACACACACTCCAACACCCTATGCTCATTAGCTTTTGCTCCCCATTATTCTTTAATCCCCTCTCTAGGTTTATACAACCACTAACCATTTTTTTTTCTGTTTGATTTGACTCTTGTAGACATTTCATGTAAATATATGGTACTTTGTGAGTGGCTTCTTTCACTTAGCATTTTCTTTCATTTAGTGTTTTCAAGGTTCATCGTTTTTTAGTAGGTGCCAGTATTTCATTCCTTTTTTATGGCTAAATTAGTCCACTGTGTGTATGTGTCATATTTTATTTATTCAGTTATCAATTTACGGACATTTGTGTACAAGTTTTTGTGTAGACATGTTTTCATTTCTCTTGGATACATGACTAGGAGCAGAATTGCTAGGTCATGAATAACTTTTTCCTAATGTGTACACTTTTCTAATCACAAAGTAGTCGACATATCTCAAGCACACTTTCATCAACAATATATGAGAACCATTTTCTAATAGCAGATTCCTTAGAGAAAATTATGATGGCTAACACTTGACATAGAGGTCACATTGCAACCTTTAACCAAAGAACTTGTATGCATAAATGCATAACCCATGGACACAGACAACAGTGCAGTGTAGGCCTAGGAAGGGGATGGGAGTGAGGATGAGAAGGTTAGTGGGGTTTGAGGGGAAGGGGACATCCGTAATACTTTCAACAATAAAGAAAATTTTCAAGAAATAAGTTGGAAACCCTCACACATTTTATACTTGGCTCTAAACAAAAAATTAATCGCTTCCTGCACCACCCCCTTCTGAGATTCATCCCTCTGTAGCATGCTTCCATGTCTCTAGATCTATTTTGTTTGTCAATTTATTTTGTTCATTAGATTCCATATATAAGTGAGATCATGTGGTATTTGTCTTTCTCTAATTGGCTTATTTCACTTCGCATAATAACCTCCAGGTCCCTCCATGCTGTCTCAAAGGTTAAGAGCTCCTTCTTTTTTATAGCTGGCTAGTATTCCATTGTGTAAATATATCACAGCTTTTTTATCCACTCATCTGCTGATGGGCACTTGGGATGTTTTCCAGATCTTGGCTATTGTAAATAATGCTGCTATGAACATTGGGGTACATACGTTCTTTCTGATTGGTGTTTCAGACTTTTTAGGATCTGTTCCTAGAAGTGGGATCACTGGGTCAAATGGCAGTTCCATATTTAATTTTTTGAGGAAACGTCACACTGTTTTTTATAGTGGTTATACCGGTTTGCTTCTCACCAGTAGTATACGAGGGTTCCTTTCTCTGCACCTCCTTGCTAGCACTTGTTGTTTGTTGATTTGTTGATGGTAGCCATTCTGGCAGGGGTGAGTTGGTACCTACTTCATTATCATTTTAACTTTCATCTTTGTGATGATTAGTGACTTTGGGTATTTTTTCATATGTCTTTTGGCCATTTGTATGTCCTCTTCAGAGAAGTGTTTATTTAGGTCCTTGGCCCATTTTTTAACTGGATTGTTTGTCTTCCTTTTATTGAGTTGTATATATTTTTTAGATTAACCCCCTTATCAGATGTATCATTGGCAAACATGTTCCTCCCATACAGTGGGTTCACTTTTCATTTTGATCCTGGTTTTTTTTTCTGTGCAGAAGTTTTTTATTTTGATGTAGTTTAATTTGTTTATTTTTTCCTTTGTTTCTCTTGCCCTAGATGACGTATCTGTGAAAATTCTGTTATGTGAAATATCTGATATTTTATCTATTTTGAGTTTATTTTTTAGTATGATGTAAGTTGTGGTCTAGTTTCACTTTTTTGCATGTACCTGTCCAATTTTTTCCAACACCATTAATGAAGAAACTGTCTTTACTTCATTGTATACTCTTGCCGCCTTTGTCAAATATTAATTGAGCATAATGGCTTGGGTTGATTTCTGGAGTCTCTGTTCTGTTCCATTGATCTATATGCCAGTTCTTAGGCCAGGACCAGGCTGTTTTG